AAACCCCACTCTGGTGACTCTAATCCTCCGGTGGTCCCTGCTGGGGGGGCGCAGCAGCTACTTGGTGTCGAGCTTGGCCATCTCCTGCACGTAGATGCCGATGCTCTCGCTGTCAAAGAGCAGGAAGTACACGTTCTTCAGCGAGGATGCACTCGAGTCGTCGAAGTGGGACGAGATTGCTTTGAGGGTCACCTGGGCTGCCGTCTGTTTGGGAAAGCAGTTTCTGTGCCAAAGCAAGAGAAGAGCCAACATCATTTCAGTCTCCGGGACCCACTGGAGTAACTCCCAGCAGCCTGGGAGGACGATGTGGTTCCTTCTTATAGCTTACCGCACACAGGGCTGGTCCCTAGTCAAAAGCGACAGCTTGGGAGGGGCACTTTATAGGTACCAACCTGACTCAGAGAGGGACAATGACTTCAGCCAAGGTCACAGGGCTGGCAGGTGAGGAATGCCATGTATTTGACTCTATGTTGCCGACTCAAGTTGAGCTTGGCTTTAAAAAACTCTAGCAATTTAGCATTAAAAATACCTGGTCTTCAAAAAAAGCAAATATAGGTTTTATTAGCTCCCTCAAAACTGGTTACATGCTAATCAGATCCTTTATTCGAGGGCAAAAATGTATGCTCAAAAGCTTGCCTTCGTAATTACTTTTTCATGCACTTAATATTGCTCTCATTAGCTCATACAGACATGCCAATGTGATTTTGGCAGCAGTGACTCTAGGCAGGACCAGGTTGGTGAAAGACTGCTAAGGGCCCGAAGTACTAGGGAGTCATTGATAGTGCTGGCTGCCAGTTGGGCCGTGGCACCAGCCTCTGGGGACACAGCCACAGTGGTCATTTGGGGTCAAGATCCCTGAGGAAGGTCCAGGCTGGGCCTGCCTAATATGAATTCTGACTCACATGTAGTGTTCTAGCACAAAACAGCACTGCCCATGGTCCCGCCGATAGAAGAATTCATCCTGCCAGGCGTTGGCCTGGACCGTGGAGGCCCAGCACCATGCACTTAGGTTGAGATATGATCACAGCAGGGACCCAAGCCTTATTATTTCCCCCTTAGCCTTCCCATGACGCAGCTACAAATCATATCCGTGTTATAGAGGAGCAGCTCTCAAGATGAGAAGGTATTCAAAAGTAAAGCAGTGAGTTGCTTGGCCAGGAGCATGCGGGGAGAGGAAGTGCTGCATGCCAGAGCAGACATCCTCCTTACTTACCTGAACTGATGCCCTCTGGGGCATGTGACAATGAACACAGTCATTTCTCCTAGCTCCCTTTTAAGGGGGCCCGTGACGAGAGCCTTTCACTTCTCTGGGTGTATCGGTCAAAGCCTCAACCTGGCTCTGCTGTCTCCCCTAGGGATTCTGAAACAGGAGGTCTGGGGTAGGGCCTGAGATTCTGCATGCCAGCAGGGGATGTCACTGCTATGGATCCATGGACTGCACTTGGAGTAGCAAAGGCCTTTGAGCCTGGGGTTTTCTGATCAGGTGTTCTGGACACGGATAGCTGGTGGGAATGTGGGCTTTGGACAGGGCAGGCTCTCAATAACATGCCACCTTGCCTCTGCCTCCCCCTCCTCCCCTGAAGCTGCCTTTCTCGCTGGGCTTTACATCAAAGAAGCAGGGGAGCTGGCCCCACACATGGGAGACCTGATGCCCTGTGAGCCCGTGGGCCCATTTATTTGTGTGTTGGAAAGGTTGGAAACTGGGTTCATTGCTCTATCCCTTGGTAAACATGCTTGGCTGTGCTGGCAGCCCTTGGCTGTATCTTCTGGAATGGCCAGATCAGATGCGGATCAGTGGGGAGCAGCTGGTTTTCAGGGAAAAGGCTGGAAGAATCAGCTCAGGAGAACTGCATCTTACCTGCCACTGGGGAAAGGAGGGAACGCGACGGACTTGAGCTTTTTGTCCTCTGCCGCCGACAGGCAGTTTTTGATGGTCTCTTCAAGCTGTTCTTCACATTTGTCGGAGCCCCACTGAGGGATGTGACAGTGGATGACAAATTTGGCTGCAAGTCCACTGGATTGGCTGACGGCGGCTGGGAATGGGAGAAAGAAATGCTGCAGGTTATTTCCTGAGTCTTCTGGGAATGGGAGAAAGAAATGCTGCAGGTTATTCCCTTAAGCCAGAGGTCAGGCCGAACCTCATGGGTCTACCTGTTAAATCCGAGGGGCACAAGCAAGTGACAGAGAAGACGGATGCAAACATCTGTGCTTCCCATGAGGACCACGTTTGCCAGAGAGCAGGGGCGGTGTCAAAATGGCTTTGGATAGTCAGCACAAGCTCCGGATAAAAGCGTTTAATGCTGATTTGACAGGATGTATTTTTCACATGGTCTACCGACTAGTCCCTGGATTAGGCTGCCTATTCGTGATGGTTCCTAGTCAAAGGAACACATGGAAATCCTCTCTGGCAGCTATGATAGGCTGCGTAACAGCCTCCCCCAAACACCCATGTTCTAGTCTCTGAAATCTGTGGGTGTTACCTCACATGGCAAAAGGGATGCAGATATGATTAATTTAAGGATCTTGAGATGGGAGATTGTCATGGATTATCTAGATGAGACCTAAATGTGATCACATAAGTTCTTAGGAGACAAGAAGGTCAGAGGCAGGAGAAGGTGAAGTGATGATGGGAGCAGAGATTGGAGTGATGCGGCCAGGAGCCAGGGGACGTCGCAGCCCGAAGCTGGAAAAGGCAGGGAAGGGATTCTGCCCTGAGTCTCCAGAAGGCATCAGCCCTGCCGGCACTTTCATTTTAGCTCCTTTCAAACCCACTGTGGACTTCTGACTGCCAGAACTACAAGAGAATAAATTTGTGTTGTTTGAAGCCACTAAGTTTGTGGTAATTTGTTATGGCAGGAATAGGAAATGAATACAATGGCTTTTTAAGAATGGACATGTCTGGCCCCCCGCCCAGAGATCCTGACATGGTCGGCCTGGTGCAGGGCCTGTGATTATGTGGTCTCAGGACCCCCATGAGGTGAGAACTGCCGAACATCATTGTACGCTTCCTTGGACTGGGATTGTATTTTGATCATCTTTACATACCCTGCATTGCAGGGGTTCAAAAACAGGTTATGAAATTGGATTATGCCAGCCTCGTCTCACAATTTCAGTCATCTTCCTTTATTTTACTTTTTACTGCCCCAAACATAATTCCCATCAGTGGCAGCACTGTGATAAACACTGTGGCTGCTGAGAAGCTTGAGAGAAGTCCCTGTGGCCGTCGATCCCCAGAGGAACAGTTCTGTCTGATGCCCTGGCCAGGCTTAGGCCCCTTGGGGCAGCTGCAGCTGCAGCCACATGCTGCTTGCCCCTAAGCCACCTGCGTGGCGGAGCTGGCTGGCTGTGCCACTCCAGGAACTGGTGTAGTGGGGATGTCTGGCCCTCCCGGAGTGGCCAGACCATGGCCACTAAGGGGCACTGTTTGTAACATAAATGTGTCTGCCCTGTTATGGAGCTGTGTGTGGGGTTGGTTTGAAAGATTTATTTGAAATATATGATGCCCACTTATTTTATGGGAAGTGTTTCCTAGCAATGTTCACAGTGTTAGAGCAGCTATGACGGCACATGATCAGAAGGGTGGTTGGAGAGTAAATCCAAGGAACCCCTTAGTCAGGTAAGGCTGTAAGCTCCTTGCCTTCCCGTGCCTAGCCGAGTGCTGAATACGATCAAACATGAGCGACTGAGTGCCAGGATCAGTCAACAAAGTACTAGTGAGGCAGCGGGCATCACACAGCCATGTGGCTGACTCTATGACCATGTATATTTGTGCATCAGAAGCAGGATGTCCCTCTATGGCCTGCACAATGATGCCCCAGAGTTCAGGGCTGTTCTTAGAAATTCCAGGACCCTGGGGATTGGTCCCACCTGCTTGGGGTGATTTTCCTAAGGCCCTTACTGCTATCCTTGCTGGAGGGAGTTAGACTCTTTCACAACTACGGCTTGTTTATTTTATGTATATATATTTAGACTACAGTCATGTTACCGGCTGAATGGTATTATTTTTAATGTGAAGTTGTTTTTTAATAAGAGGAATATGCTCCTATTGGCAGTGTCAAACATTCAATCGAGAGAAAATGACTTTAAAGGTAGCTCACAATAACATTCCAGCCCCAAACAAAGTATTTCCATGGCAACTGGAAATGGAAAACACAGCTATGGCTGTAACGATTTGTTACGTTCTCTAGAGGTGCCAAGGACAGGGTCAAGTTATCGCAAGGATTGTGACGCTGATGTTTGGTATAAGCACCCACTCACAGAATGACTCAAAGCATTGTCATATCTGATGTGATGTTACCTGGTGGACCACCTGCACCTGGTGAAGACCTGCCTTCTGAGGATGGCAGTGCTGCTGCTAGGAGCTTCCAGAACCATCCTTCAGGTGACCATCACAGTGTGGAAGGCCAAACATGTTCTCAGAGTCACCACAGCAGAAGGGGATTCCAGAGTTGCCCCTTGTCTCACTGGGAAGCTGCTACTGCTAATCCCTGGTCTCCATGACACCATGGTTTCCTTCTAACCATGCCTCAGTTTCTCACAACAGCCTCTTTTCTTCCTGCCTGTCCAGGCCCAGTGTTCTTCTCTGCTGCAGGAGGTGCTCAGCCCTGGTTCCTAAGCAACCACCTGTGAGCCATTTTTCCCCTGAGCTTTCAACAGTGACCTGAACCTCGGTGACTTTTTTGGTGTCCCAGGTCCAACATTTGCCCAGAAAAATCATCATCCACTCTCGAAACTCCATTCCCCCTTTCCCATCTTTGCAACTGCAGCCACCCAGTCAGTTTCTTCTGACCTGTCTCATTTCAGGCCCATCTGCTTCATTTCCACCCCTCCCCCACCCCCGTCCAATCCAGCTTTCCAGAAGGTCTCCCCGCCATAGCCCTCCTGCTGCCAAGCATCCTCCATAGTCTCGAGTTGGGGTCTTTAAACTACACATTCAAACCCAGAATCTGCAGCTGCTCCTGATTTCCAACCTGGCAGGCCCTTCCTGCTCCGGCCCCCTCCCCTTGGAGTCCTTCCGTTTCCTGTTCCTTCTGGAAGCCCAGTCATCCTCCAGCAGTCGGCCCTGTCCCCTGCACACATCAGGCTTGGCCACACCTGTTCCGCATGCTTGGCTGTCCTCTCTCCCTGGCTCCTTTGTCCATCCCGTCTGAGCCTCCACTGCGCAGTTCGGCAGCCAGTTGTATAACTGATGTACTGTGCTACCCTGGACTCCCCACTTGGTTGTCAGGTTCAGGAACGTTCAGGGGCTTCATCACATATCCTGATGCCTCCACCCCACGGTGCACATTGTGGATGCTTAACAAGGACTGGCTTTGACCCAGCCGACATCTTCATTGAAGGGTTATGCATTCCCTGCCGCTTCCCCAGATTCCAGTGCAGTGACTCGCAGGGCCTTGGTTGTCAGGTTCAGGAACGTTCAGGGGCTTCATCACATATCCTGATGCCTCCACCCCATGGTGCACATTGTGGATGCTTAACAAGGACTGGCTTTGACCCAGCCGACATCTTCATTGAAGGGTTATACATTCCCTGCCACTTCCCCAGATTCCAGTGCAGTGACTCGCAGGGCAGGTGCTCAAATACTGCCACTGAATGAATGGAAGGTCTGACTTTCCACCTGCGCGCTCAGCCTGGAAACACCGCACCCACCCTCAGCTTCTCTTTCTGGCATCCTGATGATGCAGCCATCAGTACCTCTCACTGGCTCTGCTCTGGAAATATTTTCTTGATCCACCCCACCCCCATCCTCCTGCCTCAGGAAGGCTGCACTGCTTTACCTGTGTATGCTAAGATGTACTTAAAAAACAATCTTTTTAAAATAAATCAGGTTGTGTTTTACAATCACTGTCAGCCTGGATTGAAGCTGAGTTCTTCCAGAAAGAAGATGCATATCTTTCTATGTCACCCGGGGATGCTGTCAAACTGAGGTCACCAGACTGAGGTTTTGAGCTGCACTGGATTTAGCTGCAAATCTGCAGGAGTACTGGCTTGTGGTTCAAATTCTCTAGTGAGGTTTTTTTCCCCTCCGTCCTCCCAATGCCAAGGTCAAGACATGTACTTACTGCTCTTTTCTGCATTTGGGTTCATGTCTTGCCTGCTCTTAAACTGAACATGTCCCAGCTTTATGTGTGGTCTATTAGACACCCCCTTTTGGAAATTTAATCTTTCTTAGTGGTTCATAGAATAAGGACATATCTTACAGCTGATGATGTTTTTCAATGAAATGAAATACGATGTTAGGGCTTTATGAACTGCCTTCCCTTTTCCCTTCTTCCCAGGGTGCATCCCTGATTGGCCCCAGACCACGAATACTCAGCCCTCACATATTTGTGCCAATTTCTTAGCTCGTGACTCTTCCCCCAGCACTCTCCTTCTGTTTCCTCAGCGCAGCCTTTTGTGGTCCTCCCAGCAGGCAGGGGGCTGGACTGCTGCCTCTCAACTTTTGCATGTCTGAAACTGCATCTTTTGCCCTCATTCTTTTTTTTTTTGGTGGCTGGCTGGTATGGGGGTCTGAACCCTTGACCTTGGTGTTACCAGCACCGTGCTCTATCAACTGAACTAACTGGCCGACCCTTGCCCTCGTTCTTGAGTAACACAGCAACATAAGAAATTCTTGGTTGACAGTTTTTTCCCCTCAGTGCTTTGAAGATACTTCTTTCCTGTTTCCAAGCATCTTTCGTGGCTGATGAGAAGCCCGCTGTCATTAGAACTGTCGTTTCTTTTTTTTTACAAATGATCTGCTTCTCTTCTCAGGTTGCTTTGAAGGTATCTCTTGGTTTTTGAACTTCTGAAGCCTCATCATGATGTGCCAGGTTTTGGATTTATTTTCATTTGTTATGCTCAATATTTCCAACTTGAAGACTCATTTAGTTCTGGAAAATTCTCAGCTATGATCTTTTCCAGTACTGCTTTCCTACCATCTATTTTCTGCCTCTGGAACTCTGTTTAGAAGTGTGTGGTGCCTCTCCTTCTACGCAGAACAGCTACTTTTCTCTCCTCACCCTGTTGGGCAGTTTGCTGGGAGCTCCCCCAGGTCCCAGACCCCCAGTCCAGATGCCGTTGTCTCTTATGGCTGAGTCAGGGCTCTGCCTCATGGTTATATAGAGGATGGGGAAGAGCCAGACATCGAGTGGGTGGGCAGCATGGCCCCGGGCCTGGGTGAGGGGCTCTCTGCTCCCTTCTGCACCCTAGAAAGACAGATTTTATACAAGCCATAGCCTTGGGTGGTGGCCAGAGCTTTGGCTTCCTGTAAAGGCTGCAGGAGTTTTATCTAGCCCCTTCTTTGAGCAGTGAGCCCAGCTCTGGTCCCAGTACCATGACGAAACTGACCTCGGGGTAGCCCTGCATATTACCAGACCTGGAGCCCCCCGACACACTGCCACTGCATGCAGCTCTTCTATCTCTGGCCACACAGATGCTTATCTTACATTTGAGCACAGCTCTGTCTTAAAATTTTTTAAAAAATGTATCCACAACTGCTATATGTATGGGGGAGTGGTGTGGGCAGACTTTAAAGTGTGGACTCATGTTCCTTCGTGACTGAAAGCCCCTTTACTTTTCTAACATCAGATCTAATGATGACAGTCCCCTGCTTGACCTTGCAAGGTGGCCCTTTTTGTCTACATAGGGTCAGATTCAGATCCCTCGGTACGGCCCATGGGCCCAGTCTCAGCTCTGGTTGCTGTTTCTCTCCTTCCACCTGCTGACCCAACAATCCCTGCCCGACCACGACCCAAGTCTTCTCACACTCATGCTCCTACTGCCCTTGCTGTCCCACCCCCACGGAGTGTCATCCTCACTGGAGTCCTCCCCAACCCCCCCAGGTGGAGGTGAGGGCTCCCTCTCTGTGCCTCATTTATGTGTCCGAGGACAGCAGTGGGGCTTATTTCTCTCTGAAGCCCTAACATTAGAGCGGTACTTGGTGTCGACTGGATGTACAATGAGTGAGTTGATTGGGGATCGTGTGGGTGGGAACATGGATCTGAACTTGGATCCATCTGTCAAAGAGTTACCTGATAGCCTGGACAACAGGTGTTCAAACAAAACCTTGTGCACAAATGTTCATAGCAGCTCTATTCACAATGGCCAAAGGTGGAAATGGCCCAAGCGTCCATCAGCACACGAATGGATGAACAAAACGGAATATTACTCAGCCATAAAAAGGAGCAAAGGACTGTTACTTGCCACAACATGGGTGGACTTCAAAAAACCCTACAACTATGTTAAGTGAAAGAAGCCAGCCACAAAAGGTCACATATTGTATGAATCCATTTATATGAAACGTCCAGAATAGGCAAATCCATAGAGACAGAAAGTAGATTAGTGGTTGCCAGGGCTGGGGGAGGGGCACGACTGCTTTTGGGTATGGGGTTTCCATTGGAGGTGATGAAAAAGATCTGGAACCAGACAGTGCTGTGAAAGTACTTAATGCCACTGAATTATACACTTTAAACTGGTTACATTGGTAGATTTTATGTTATGTGTATTTTACCACATACACACGAAGTTAACCCAGCATCTCCAGACCATTTTGCGGGTATCTGATGCAAATTGACTTGAGCTATCCAGACACTTTACAGCCCTCAAAGCATAGGTTACATTGGTAGATTTTATGTTATGTGTATTTTACCACATACACACGAAGTTAACCCAGCGTCTCCAGACCATTTTGCGGATATCTGATGCAAATTGACTTGAGCTATCCAGACACTTTACAGCCCTCAAAGCATGTGAGATGATCTACATGGTCCTGCTCAAATGATCTGACAGATGCTAAAATAGCTTTCTGATTAGTTATGGCATATTTTGTTCCATAAACTGAATATGCATGAGGCAGGAGGCCCTGGAGGGGAAGGTGTGAGGCTGTGCTGGGAATAGGGGTCTGATTCCTCACTTACCTTCAGCAACTTCCAAAGGACCTTGGGATTTGCGAAGCTCCTTTACAGTTTCCAAGAACTCTTTCCCCCCAGCCTTTTCCAAGGCCTTACCTGCAAAGGAGAACAGATCCATCATGCTTGTTCTTTCAATATAATTACACTGTTTGACAGATTCTTAGCAGGCCAGGGGGAAAAACACCTTAGAAACTAGAAATTACACTGCTCAATTGTTACCCTGGTTTGCCAGTGGTCACTGGTGGCAGGGGTCTCTGAGCCTCTGTCCAGAAGTGTGATATCATATTCATACACGCGCGCGTGTGTGTGTGTGCACGTGCATGTGTGTGCAAGGGAACTTCAAAAAGTTTGTGGAAAAATAAACTTAAAAGATAATATGAGGGCCGGCCTGTGGCTCACTCGGGAGAGTGTGGTGCTGATAACACCAAGGCCACGGGTTCGCATCCTATACAGGGATGGCCGGTTGGCTCACTGGCTGAGCGTGGTGCTCACAACACCAAGCCAAGGGCTGAGATCCCCTAACTGGTCATCTTTATGTAGGAAAAAAAAAAAAAAGATAATATGAGTCTTTCCATGAACATTTTGAAGACCCCTAATACGTTTCATCCATGGATCCTGGCTCCCCAAGGCAAGACTCTAATCTCTTGCTTTGCTTGGCTGTGAAGAAATTCTCTGATCTACCTGGTCAGACTGTAGGTCATAAAACCCCCATTTCAGGAGAGACCCTGCCCCGTGCCTGGGAGGAGGGACTGTTGCACAGGAAGGCTGAGAAGATCGTGAACAAACAGGCCTCGCTGGGTTTCCCTATCCAGTCTGTTAGTGTTGGATCATATCCTTTTTGTCCAATCACATTTCTAAGTGGTTGTGCACGCTTCAGTCATGCCTACATGATGAAGCTGCCACAAAAACCCAAGAGCACAGGGTTCAGGGAGCTTCTGGATAACTGAACACGTGGAGCTTCCTGGAGGGTGGTGCTCCCGGGGAGGCATGGAAGCTCCGTGCTCCTTCCCCCTTCCTCACCCTTTGAGTCTCTTCATCTGCATCCTTTATAATATTCTTTAAAATAAACTGGTAAATGTAAGTATGTGTTTTCCTGATACTGTGAGCTGCTCTAGTAGATTAATCAAACTTAAGGAGAGGGTCGTGGGAATCCTGATTTATAGTCGATTGGTCAGAAGCACTGGTTATCTCAACCTGGGGCTTGCAACTGGCACCTGAAAGTTGCGGGGGGGGGCAGCATCTTGGGGACTGAGCCCTCAACTTGTGGGATCTGGCGTTATCTCCAGGTAGATAGTGTTGGAATTGAATTGGTGGACACCCAGTTAGTGTCGGCTGCAGAACTGATTGCTTGCTGCTTGGTGTGTGGAAAGAAACTCTAAGACATTTGGTCACAGAAGTCTTCCGTGTTGATAGTTGCTGAATAAAAGTATAGGAAAAACTCTTTGGCTTGTTTTTATTCCTATATACTCAAGCAGACTTAGATTAGCAAGGTTTTTAAAAGGAGATTTTTAGGGGTGATTTGGCCATAAAGCAATCTCAGAACATGAGCCCTAAAGATTTTTTTTTTAAACTGAGATTCCGGGCCGGCCCGGTGGCGCACTTGGTAGAGTGCAGCGCTTGGGAGTGTGGCCGCGCTCCCGCCGAGGGTTCGGATCCCATATAGAGACCAGTCGGCTCACTGGTTGAGCACAGTGCAGGCGCGACACCGAGGGTTGCGATCCCATTGCCAGTCACGATACGGGCACGACACCGAGGGTTGCGATCCCGTTACCGGTCACGAAAAAAGACAAAAAGGAAAAAACAAACAAACAAACAAAAAACCCCCTGAGACTCCACTGTTCTGTTTTGTGGGTTCATTACCCATGCTGAGAACCCTGAAGTCCTATTCCCATCTCAGCACCACCAACGTGCTGTAAGTCCTGGGGATCAAAGGGCAGATACAGGCCCAGGGCAGCCTGGTATGTTGTTCCTCCAACCTGGGCCTCAATTTTCAAAGGAAAAATGCAGAGATTTGAGAGGCTAATCTCTATGGACTTCCCTGCTAGGAGATCCCCTGAGTCTTGGACTTAGGGCAATTTCCTACTCGATATCTCAGGGTCTTGCTTCTACAGAAGCCATGTGGAATCCCCAGGAGATGGCAGGACTCCACCTCGGGCCCAGCAGGAACCCCCTCTGGTGTACCAGGGGATTCAGCCCCCTGTCTCTGAGATGACATGGGTGTTTTGTCTAGTCTAGGACACTGCTGCTCTCGGGTGGGAGATGAGGTATTTCCCCTCAGGTGTTTTTACCTTCTAACGAATTTGGTGATCTGGATGTCTTGGGTTAGTCTCGCTCTCTCTGTTTATTAGTCATTATTATAATTATTGAGTTCAGAGGCTTCCCTGGGCCTGGGTGATGGAGCTTCCCTAACCACACTCAGGCACTCAAGTATACCTGGAAAGCCACAATTCATCGTGCAGATCATTTAGGACAAATGTCTATTCTCCATAGGGGGATTAACGTGCTTGGGTTTCAATGATACAGTTTGGGAATGGTGATTGTGGGCTATGCCAAGGACCTCTGAGTCTCCTTCTGGCTCTCAGATTCTCGGCCAGCGTTGATCTGCTGGGTCATGGAAGGGCAGGCAACCAAAGTTGGTTGAAGCAGGAAAATAGCACTAAACCACCGCACTCTGCACTCAGGTCAGGGGCCAAATGGGGACGTGTAGAAGGCAAGGTGGATGCACCCTCTCCACTGAAGACTTTTCAGAAGAAAGCAGCCTAGAGAGTTGCTGAGGTTGTTTCTTTCTATGGAAGCATCCCCGTGAAGAGACGAAGGAATGCTGGAATTAGACTATCGCTGCTTCACAACCTCTAACAAGTGGTCAGATCTAGAGAAGGGGTATCACTGGCTGCTAACATCACACCAAGAGAGATAGCCAGGCACGTGCCTCCTGAGGCCAGAATGCTACATCGCAGACCAGAGAGTCTTGCCCCAATTTTTTGAACCTGAATTGAATCTCATTAAACCTCCAGATCCAACTACCAATTAAAAAAAAAAAAAAAAACAGAGCAGAAACAACATGTTTAACACCAGGAGGCTGCAATCAACAAAATCCAGACTGTAGGTTTTAACTACAGGACAAATAGCCCGGCTTTCTCAAAAAAGAATTTGCAAAGAAATAAAAAGAGAGAGAGACATGAAGGGGGAACCTACATGTTATAAGAGACTTATCAACCAACTGCAGTGTGGACTCTTCTGAATCCTAAATCAAATAAACAGTTTTTAAAAAATTGTCATTTGTGATGCAATTGAAATGTGAACACTGGTAACTTGTTGATATTAAGTTAATTTTCTTGGGTGTGATAGTGGTATTACGCTTACACTGTTAAACACAGCCCTTATCTTTTTAGAGATCACTGTGAAATATTCACAGGTAAAATGATATGACGTCTGGAAGAATGAGGCGGGGAAAGCTGGAGCAGATTTGGTCACAGGTGCTGATTATTCCATCTGCCCTGTAGGGTTTCATGCAACTTTTCTGCTATTTTTGTGTATGCTCAAACTTTGCTGTAATGACACAATGTTTTAAAAGGAATAAATCAGGGCCTCAGCTGCCTGGTATGATCGGTTTGGGTGACAGTGGTGGTGAATAGAATCAGGAGGAGAGAGAAACTTCTAGCAACACAGCAACAGTAAAAGAGATGGTAAGTATGGTTCAGGGAGGTTAAGAAAGCTGCCCAAGCTCACACAGCGAGGAAGTGATTTGTAAAAGCCAGGACACAGACCAGGCACACCCAGACCTGCTGTCTTAACCATCTGGCCACCTTTCAGCCCACTTCTCCTGACTCCCGAGGTCAATCCCCTGCTGGGATCTGAGCTTGGGTTTTTGCTCCAGTACCAGTGCTCTTTCTGTTCTACCACCCTGCCACTTAAAAAAAAAGAAGCATCTTTATTATTTTTCTGGTATAAAAATGCAAATACTATACAAGTATATAAAGTAGGAATATAGCAACTTGTTTTGTTTATGAGAAGCTAGGACCGTTATTAAAACAGAGCTGGAGATCCGGCCCCTAGGGGGAGGCATTTCACAGGTTTTCAGGGGCCGGAGGGGAGAAGGGAGAGTTAGCGGCGGCTGATGGGGCTCGGCCCAGTGTGAAGATCAGAGGGAATTTCACCACCTCTTAGTGAGCAAGGGAAGTCCTGTTTCTCTGTAATGCTGGTTTCCCCCAGTGCTGTCCTAGCTCCTTTTCAGCCAGCAAGTGGCCTCCAATGCCCAGCGGGAACCAGGAGTGGATCCAACAGCCTGGAGCCTGGTGCCACCACCCAGGACTGAACTACTAGCACCTGCCTCAAATCACCTACCTCAGAGGCAAGCCCTGTACACCAGGGACACAGCCCTCTCTTTGCCACTTTACCCTTTCAATGGAGGGTTGAAGCACCCAGGACTGAACTACTAGCACCTGCCTCAAATCACCTACCTCAGAGGCAAGCCCTGTACCCCAGGGACACAGCCCTTTCTTTGCCACTTTACCCTTTCAATGGAGGGTTGAAGGCAGTCTGTCTTGTAAAAATGGACGAGATGGTGCCCATTTCACATGCAGTTATTTCCAGTGCCCTCGACAGCTTACCCCCCAAGCTCCTCCACCTCGCCTGGTTACAGCTCCCCACACCACCTGTGGGACGCGTGGCAAACCACTGGTAAAATAACTCAATTCTCATAGCTTCATGGACAACCTAGTCTTTTCTAGATGTCCATTTCCTTTTGACCAGTAGCATTTGCAATGTTTAAGCTTAAAATATATGTAAATTTTTTTTTGTTTTTTGTTTTGGCAGCTGGCCGGTATGGGGATCCAAACCCTTGACCTTGGTGTTATCCACACCGAGCTCTAACCAACAAGTATATGCGAAGTTTTATCCAAAACATGCATAGCGATATTTGTAGCAGTGCTACCCATTACAGCCCAAACCAGAAACTACCCAAACGCCATCAGTGGCAGACTGCGTCAACAGTGCGGTATATTCGTACAGTGTGATACTGCACAACGGGGAAAATGAAGGAACACAAGCACACTCAGTGATAGGGACGGATTTCGGAAACAGTAAGCTGAGCAAAAGGAGCCAGACACAGAAGAGCACATGATTTCATTTACATAAAATTAGCAGACAAAACCCATCTATGCTGTTAGAAGACAGGATAGTGGTTACCCTTGGGGGGCATAATGACCAGGAGAGGGGATTGAGGGGACTTCTGGGGTGCTGGTAAGGTCTGCTTCATAATTTGGTGCTGGTCGCACAGTGGTGTTCACTTTGAGAAAAATTCATCAAGCTGTACACTAATGATCCGCTTTTCATATAATACTTCAACAAAATTTTAAAAAATATATGCAGAATTAAAACAAAGTTAGTTACTTTCTAGTGACACTGTTCAATTTGAAACAAAGACTGAGTTTGACACGGGACCCCAGACAGTGGGATGTCCAGTCGACAATGACCGACTTCACAAGAACTTGCCTGCTCAGTGGGCCGTTCTATGTAGCACCTGAACCAACGTCTCAGGACCTTACCTATGTCTTCCTTGAGGTCGATTTCGGCTGTGGTTGGGTGGACGATGCCCTCTACTCTCATGGAGCCAATATGGCTGATGTCACTCTGGGTCAAGGACAGCTGTATTAGGAAGAAAAGATGGACAATGTGGGAAAGATCAAATCCTATTGAAAACCTTCACATTTTACCTTCCATCCGTTAATTCTCTTTAATTATTCATACTGAAGGGCAACGTAAGGGCTGTATCTAAAGCAAAAGTGTCTGGTTTTCAATAGGCTCTTTTGAACTCAGTTGACTTGATTTTCACTCTGAGGCTAGCAGCATGCAACAAATCTGTCTCCTCTTCCAGAAGCAGGAACAGGACCTCCCCTCTTCTTTCTTTCCCTTATAGCTTATGCCTTTGGTTCCCAACCCTGGTGGCCTTGGTTTTCAGCGACTCATCCTCTGAGTAGCTTCTGAAAGGGGAGCTCAGGTCTTGCTCTCTTCCCCCTCAGTACCCTGCATTCTCCCTAGAGCAGAACAGAGTCTTTAGGGCAGGGCTCTGGAGCCAGTGATCTTGCTGGAGAAAAGTAAAGGGCTCTGGGATTCTGTCTGGCTACCTTGCCCTTTGGGGACCATATTCTTGGGGCTACCCCTGGGAAAAGCCGTTCATAGAGGAGTGGAATGGAGGGCATTCTCCATCATTTCCCCATGTGAGCAAGAGCTTTTTGTTCCCCTAAAATAAGTGACACAAAGCTAATCATCATGTAACCATGGATAGCCCTTGGAGGGGACATAAATCCCACCTCTTTTCTTCCCTGCTTTCATCAGTGATGAATTAGGAACCCGCCACATTTACGCTCTTCCTAGAACACGCTCTCCCCAGTTGCTTGAATGGAGGTTCACTCTATGGTCAGGCTGCAAACCTTCAGCTACCAGAGATATGATTAACTGACTATTTCCTTGTGTATCTTATTTCAGCCCCAGTTGACTTGGTAGATAGATTGTCTGCATGGTAAACTTCACACTTGTGGGAATGAATTATTTACACGTCTGGCTGGGCTGCTGTTGTGTTGCTGAAGACTGTTCAAATGTATAGTCCTGTTTGTTTTCTTTCTGCAGCCCAGGAAGGCAAGCGGACTGAATTATTGGCAAATAATTCATTTCTAACAGCAGGGATATTCAGGAAATATATTTTTCTATTTTCTTTGATAAATTACATAGAATCACATAAGATAGGCCTCTCAGAGGCTATTTGAGAAAGTTAACTGTGGATTTTTTTTTTTGCTGAGCACAGAAGTAACTGGGCTGTGGGGAATCCGCAGTAAAACCAGTAATGCCAGCCTACCTGCTGACCAGAAGGATTCTCTACGCTTACCTTTGGCTGACTGATGTCAGCATTAACTATTCTCAGCACTAAAGAGCTTGTTTACTCTCACAATGCAGAAATGACCAGAGCTCTTTCATTTAAGAATGAATAATTCAAGACTAGAGTGAAAGTCCTATCAGGGGAGCAGGGGATAAAGGAGGTGTCATTGCTTGTAAACAGTACGTTATAAAAATGCAGTAGTGTTTTACCACAGCACATGACAATTCTCTTTATTACCTTCTGCCCTAGAACAAGGCTCTTAGAAGACAGGATGGTGAATCCATCCCCTGGCCCATCTTCAGAGGTGGAATTTGAAGTTCCTTCTTTATCGCTGTCCTTTGGTTTGGACTGTTAATAGACATCAGAAGGACAGATGAGAAACGACCCAGAAAAAGCCCAGTGTGGCTTTATTAAGCTTTTCCCATGACTGCCACCAATTTGGCTATGAAAGGAAGCAGTTAGGCATTATGTTCTGCTGTTTATTGATGAAGGAAAGCAAAGGAGAGCAATATAAGAAAAAGAAAAGGGTACTGCAGAAAACAAAGTGTGTTAAAGGGGCAGTCCTCACCCAAGTCTGGACACAGGGACACTGTTCTTGCTTCTTTCAGTGCCTGCAGCTTCTGATGACAAGCATCAGAGCCAAGTGGGGCCACTCATAGCGCACTGCTCAACCCCCTTCTCTGGGCACAGTGGCAGTGGAGTGGACTCTTCCATGATCTTTCACATTATCATGGACGTCTGCAGAATGAAAATTTCACAACCTCTAAAGCAGGCTGCCCAGAGGAACTTTCTGTGATCATCAAAATGTTCTGTCTGTGATCTTCAGTGCCACTGAGCACTTGAAATGTGGCTAGTGCAATTGAGCTGAATTTTTCATCTGATTTTACTTTAATTCAAATTTAAATAGCCACAGGTGATGGCAGTTACTGTGGACTAGCTATGGGAGACGAGAGATTGTTTAGTATGTAGCATGGAGCTCTATGGAAAAATGAAAAGCAGGGTTCCAAGCTATCACCTCTCACTTGAGATCTGGCGTGGGAACAGTAAAAGGGATCTGAAAACTACTCATGCTTTGGGTCTGGAAATCTCTAGTGGAACCTGTTTGACAATTTGAGCTCTAATCTCAAAGGCCCTTTGTTCTTCTACATACGCATCCTTGTCATTTTCTCCCCGGGCCAAGCTGCACAGTCCCAGTCATTAGGAGATGCTGGCTAGGGCCCACAGTTTCATCTTTAAACTTCTCATTCTGTGGGTTTCTTAGTTTGTTCAGGCTGCTATAACAAAGTGCCACAGAGTGGGTGGCTTATAAACCACAGACATTTATTTCTCACCATTCTGGAGGCCGGGAAGTCCAAGATCAAAGCACTGGCAGATTCCCTGTCTGGAGAGGGTCTATTCCTTTAGCTGTGTCCTCACAGGGGCAAACAAGCCCCCTCAGGTCTCTCTTATAAGGGCACTAATCCCATTCAGAGGGCCCCACCCTGACAAAGGCCCAACTTCTTAAAACCATCACCTTGGGGGTTTGGTTTCAACAAATGAATGTGGGGAGGGGGCACAGAAGCATTCAGACTACAGCAGTGGGCCTGGCTCATGACAAGCGACCTTGGCTCACCTTTTTGGACGTCCGTGGTTTGGCAGCCTTGGATTTCTTGCCCCCCTTCTTGCCTGACGTGGCCTTCCTTCCTCTTTTCTCTGGGGGTGGGGAGAGGATCGTTTCTGACTTGCCTTTGGTCCCTCGCTTTTTGGCCAGCAGTTCGGGGTGAATTCTGGGCAGAACGCCTCCGCTGGCGATGGTCACTCCTTTCAGCAGCTGAAGACAGAAATGTTGGCAAAACAAGTCTTAAATCTGGTCTTTGCTATCCTAAAGACATGGTACAATACGCAATTGAATCGGCTTGGCCCCTCGTTCATGTGTAGAGCATTTCTCTGTAGGTATCAAGGTATCCCGTGATCTTGTACAGAAAACCAAACCAAGCAGAGCAAAATAAAAGGGTTATAGAAGTTGAAACTAGGGATGTTGCCCAGGGATCTGGAATTCCAGACACGACAGAGGATAAAGAGATTCACATGTAGGGAGCACAGCTTGACAAAATTAGGTTTGAAGGTCAACACAAGGACTACACCAAGTTCACGACAGTGATCTTCACACTCTTGAACATATATTCCATCAGTAAAATATGTTGGATCATGTACCTCCCAATCGATATATATTTATTTGTAAATAATCAACATGTATTACTGGGCTAATATATTCTGCACATCCTAAAGCAGTACTATTCCAAGTGTCAACCGTGACCACGGCTTGTCCATGAACTGTTAGTTACCCATCGGTAACAAGAGAAGTACAGAAGTTGCAATCAGTTTATAGTAAACTGATAGAGTTATTGCATATCTACTGAATCTGATAACAAAATACTGTAGCGTGTAGTTTGCGTGTCTTTGTTTTTTTATTTTTCTAGTAATTAATTTTCATTACATTTTGGGAAATTATCATCCATAATGAATTGGCAGTAAGAATTGACTCCTCACTACAGTTGGAGAATAGGTTTAGAAAATGAATATAAATAACAATTCTTATGCTATTTACCTACCACCTGGCATATCCTGGGATGGTGGGCGGGGGGAAGCATTCACTTGACATTAGAGTCAGTTCCAACATATAAAGGGTCAATTCTAACATATAAAGAAGGATTCTCCTGCCCACATAAGAATCAATCATCAACAAAGTTTGGGCAAAGAGACTGGGACAAGAATAACACATGTGCTGCACCTTTTCAGCAACATACAGTGCTTGTCTTTAAAGAGGAAAGAAAGGTCTGGCAAGACCCAGAAAATATAATGGGATCTATTCCAGAGGCCATTTTATTTTGAATCCGAATAATACAGCTAGGAGGATTTGTTCTTCTCTCACGTGGTATGAATTTTTTTGTATAAATGTGATTGGGAACTGCAGCAGGAATGACCTGTGGCCAGCCAGGTCCACCACACACAGCGGGCCTTGGGCAAGCCCATTCCCTGGCTTGTCTCAATGATTCAGATGTACCTGGTTCAGCTCCTCGTCATTGGCAACTGCCAGCAGGATGTGTCTTGGGGCTATCCGGGCCTTCTTGTTGTCCCTGGCAGCATTCCCAGCCAATTCTAGGATTTCCGCTGAAATTACAAGGGGGTGTTAACAGGCAACCACAGAATGGGGTCTGAGCTGTCTAAAGCTTTTCTTTAGAAATGGCCTTCAAGTTTGATCACATTTATTCCTTTCTGATTTTTATGCCCGGGCCTGGAAAGAAATCCAGACAGCTGAAAAGAACTTGAGTCACAGACAAATAAGATATGTTAGTGGGATCTGATACATGATCCTGTGGCAAAGTCTTCCACATGTTCCAAACATTGTCCCTTAACATCAATCCTCCCTCTTCTTCCTCAATATGTGGACCTCTGATTTTTTGCTGAGCCCATAACTACAGGAATGAAGACTATGTTTCCCACCCTTCCTAGCTGATAAATGTGGTCACATGACTAAGTTCTGGCCAATGGAAGGCAAGCAGTTGTGTGTTATGGTATTTCTGGGACATGTCCATCAGTGAAGGGGCTGCGTCCTTTTTCCCTTTCTACTGGTGGACCGAGGACGTGATGGCTGGAATTTGACCGGTAAGGGGATCTCAACCCTTGGCTTGGTGTTGTCAGCACCATGCTCAGCCAGTGA